TGTCACACACATCAAACGCAGACACACACAGTGTCACACACATCAAAAGTAGACACACACAGTGTCACACACATCAAAAGCACGAGTGAGATGTAGCTCGAATATAGCATCCGTCAATCAACTCAATTTCACAGAACTTTCTTTGAACAAGGGGTGCGGCTTTGGCCACCAGAAAGTTCTCTCATTCATGTTCGCCCTCACCCTCGCCCTCGCTTTCCTCCCTCTCTCTCTCTCTCTGCTCAGGGCCTCGTCTCTCTGAATACCTCTCCCTCACTGTGTCTCATACTTACCCTGGCTATGGCGACAGCGTTTGACTACCTACTACAAAGGCTGAGACTGGGAACTGGGACTGATGCTGAGACTGGGAACTGAAACTGGAACAGGGATACAAACCGAGGCTGCAGTGGTGTTTCACTCCTGCCAGCCTAGTTTCGAGGTCATCCAAGCAAAGCTATAACTTTCTTGGCCAGTCTAGTGCTCCTGCGAGCCTTCTCGTAGTGTGATACTATCCTAGGAGCAGTCCCAGCAAGCTCATCTCTTGGGAACCATCGATCTTCATCTGGGCGTTGGTACTGACACTTATACTGCCTCTGCAGTCTTCCCCTTCTTCCTGTCCGGAGTTGAGCTCCATCAATAATATAGCCTTAATCATAGCTACCACCCATATCCGGAGGAATCGTTGATCCGCGTGAGACGAACTCATCATCTCGCGCACAAGGCAGCAACTTGGACACATGAAACACAGGGGGGGGTTTCAAATGTCCAAGAAAATCTATTACATACAGCGGTCCGCCGTCATCTCCACCTGTCACATCCAACACTTTGCATGGTCCTCCGTATGCAGGTAGCAAGCTACTGAGAGAGATCATGTTCAGGTAAGCACTCTCTAGACTTTACCCAGACGATTTCCCCACTGCAAACCATGGCGGCCCTACGGAGTCTGTCCTCCCCTTTAGAAGTCATGACTAGCAGTCCATCTGTCAAACTCCATGCCTGCCCAGGCAAGCACACGCAGCAAATTGGCATAAGGCTTCAGCCGGCTGAAATTGGGCCCAAGAGGCAGATGTTATTCATGACTTCTAGAGCGGAGGACAGACTCTGTCGGTCGACCTCATCCGTCTCCTCTAGAGGACACAAGAGACAGGTGAAGCCTGAACTATTGCTTTCTGCCGGTAGGCCTCATCCATCTCTTGGGCCCGATTTGTTAGCGCAGGTTTCAGCATGAGAAGTGCTGAAGGTACTAGTGGTTTAAGAGCCCACACTAAGTCGTCGAATCAGGTGTGATGGGAATAGGCAGCGCTATTATTCTCATCCGGCTGCCTGTGCCTGCAAACACAGCCACATCAGTGCATCCCCCTCCATTATTCTACTGATAGCCACAATCTTATCTTCTTCTTCGATTCACTGCACGAACAGGTCAGTACAGACTGCAGCCTCCCAACCAAGCAGATCCTCGTCCTCCCTCCCATGATACGGAAAGGGGAGCTTCGCGTTCATCCTACTTTGTTAACCCTGCTGGTCGTCTTCTTCTTCGCCAGCGGGCCCTTTCCCCTCCCCTCCACCATTGTCCTCTTCATCTCCATCTCCATCTCCACCTCCATCTCCTCCATCTCCTCGACCTCCTCCACCTACACTACAGCCTCCTCTCTTCTTTCTGAGCTTCATAGAGAATTCAATGAGTGAAATCAGTGATTCCTTTGCGGCCCATAAGCTTCTGCTTCGTCTCCCTCCTTTGCTGATCAAGCACTTTGTGGAACGCTGCATGCTCTGATGGCTACGGCGGTGTCCCCCTCCACCTTATCTGCTGCGATTTTTCTTCAAGGACGAGGGATTCCTTCAGTCATAATGGAGGTAAGTGTCAGCGTTTGTGTTCGGGAGTCACTGATGGAAGAGGAACCGGACTGATGCTCCTCACATAGAAAAAGCCAGGACCATAAGGCCCTGTTAAGAAAAAGGGAAAAAACAAGATTCAGCAACATCCAGCAGTATTGAACAAACTGACTATGGCAACCAAGGTGATCTTCATGTTGGTTTCAGTTAGGCCAGGACTGTAAGGCCCTGTTAAGAATAAGGTGGGGCGGCGGGACGGGGGGGGCGGGGGGAAGAAGGATATTCAGCAACACCAGCAGTATGAAACAAATTGGCTACGGCATCCAAGATGATCGTCATGTTGGTTTCAGTTGCCAGTCCAGTGACCATGGTCATGCACAGGTAAATATGAGAAGCTGCAAATGTACAGGTGAAAATGAAAAACGGAAAATGGACGAAGCCCACAGCTCAGTGCAAATCAAACATCCTTTTCCTTTTTCCTCCCCAGACATCCAGAAAAAGGCGCTGGATCTCATGTCCTCTCCCAGACCCAATCCTATCATTCTCCATCTTTTGACTCTTTTGAAGTCTTTTCCCCAATACTGGACCATTTGCATTGGAGAATATGGGTGTGGTAGCAGCCAACAGGCAATGAAAGCAGCCTTCAAAGCTCAGCAAGTATGAGTAGCAAGTTATCAAGACCTACCTTCTTCCCCAACGTACGGTCATTTTAGCTGTATCTAGATTCTAGACTGAAAGATGTGTGAGGATTGAGCCCTCAAGTAAGGGCCTTGCCATGATGTACATGTTCTGGGCTAAGGCCCCAGCAAGCCTAGTGCCCGCCCTAAGTGAAGGCGGGCCAGCAAATCGACAAGAGCCCTCTGTGCAACATTTCACGAAGTGGGTTCATACAGTTGCAGCACGCCAGTTGGTTGGAGTGCATCGAGTCTCGGATTTCAGCAAATGCTGAAAGCCCAGGGCCTCTGAGTTGGTTAGGCCCTGGGCATCTGAACGTGAGGCCGACAATGCATGCTGGGAAGAGAGGCCGAAAATGCCAAAGGGAAATCGGCCCACTGTCTGAATCTGGCCGCAGGCCTTGATGAAGGAGGCGCAACTGCCTTACCCCGGGGCCCAACTGTATCGAGTTGGCTTCAGCCTTTGGGCCCCGGTCACAGGCTGAAAGGAGGCCGCCCACACACTGCACTGGCATATAGGCAAGCAGGGCGAGGCAGCAGGGATCTTGGCCAATGCTGGCATATGCGGGCACGCTGCGCAGATGCAAGTG